GGAAATCTTAGGATGTGTCTGACCAAGCACGGGCTGTGGCCTCACCTAGGACCTATTCCGTGGCTATACGGGTAGCCAAAGAGACCTTCACAACTGCCCGTATAGCATCTGCATCTAACAGATCTTTGGAGTTGTTTCAGGTCGTTAGGGAACTTCTTAACCCTCCTGAGGTGGAGGAGACCTTCAACGACCCGAGAACTCGGTGCTGCGAATTTGCGCAGCACTTTGAAGACAAAGTTGCTCAGATACGTCTTGAGCTGGACTCCAGTTTGATCGCAGTTCCAAGAGAGGTGACCGAGGCATCTGCTTGTCCGGTTTTGTGGGATTTCTTCTGGCTTGTTCGTTCTGTGGACATGGAGGTGGCCCTCGGGGCAGTGAGAGCCACCACATCGGCTCTGGACCCTTGCCCATCTTGGCTAATTAAATCGGCCAAGGATGGTCTGATTGATTGGTTTATGTTAACCATCAATGCATCGTTGGAGCAATTTTCCATCTGGCTTAAAACAGGCTGTGGTTAGACCACTCCTGAAAAAGACTTCCCTTGATTCCACAATCTTAAATAACTATAGACCAATCTCAAACCTCCCTTTTCTGGGCAAGGTGTTGGAGCGGGTGGTTGCTGCTCAGCTCCAGGGCTTCCTGGATGACATCAACTGCCTGGACCAGTCACAGTCAAGTTTCAGGCCTGGCCATGGCACAGAGACGGCTTTGGTCGCCTTGGTGGATGACAGGGGGAGTGTGACCCTGTTGGTTCTCTTGTCTTGTCAGGATTAATCTCATGGTATCCTTCTGGGACGCCTCTCCGGGATGGGCCTTGGGGGTACGGCTCTGTCGTGGCTCCGGTCCTTCCTGGAGGGTCGATCCCAGATGGTGAAGCTGGGTGATGCCTGCTCGGACCCCTGGCCTTTGACCTGTGGGGTCCCGCAAGGCTCCATTTTGTCTCCCATGCTTTTTAACATCTACATGAAAGCGCTGGGAGAGGTCATCTGGAGTTTTGGAGCTGGGTGCCATCTCTAGGCAGATGACACACAACTCTACTACTCATTTCCACCCAATTCCAAGGAGGCCCCTCGAGTGCTAGACGAGTTTCTGGCCGCTGTGGCTGTCTGGATGAGGATGAACAAGCTGAAGATTAATCCCGACAAGACAGAGGTCCTCTTGGTCGATCGTAAACCAGCCCCAGGTATAGGGTGGCAACCTGTGCTAGACGGGGTTGCACTCTCCCTGAAGTCACAGGTCCGCAGTCTGGGGGTCCTCCTGGATTCTTCACTTACGTTTGAGGCTCAGGCGTCGGTGGTGGCCGGGAGGGCCTTTGCACAACTAAGACTTGTGCGCCAACTGCGACCATACCTTGGGAAGGCGGATCTGGCCAAGGTGGGCCATGCCTTAGTCACCTCTAGACTGGATTACTGCAATGCGCTCTACATGGGGCTGCCCTTGAAAACAGCCCGGAAATTTCAGATGATCCAACAGGCGGCAGCCAGGTTGTTAACTGGGGCTCCTTACAGAGAGAGGTCATCCCTCCTGTTTAAGGAGCTCCACTGGCTGCCTTTCATCTACTGGACCCAATTCAAGGTGCAGGTTCTTACCTACAAAGCCCTGAACGTTTTGGGCCCCGCCTACCTGCATGACCGTATCTCTGTATACATGATCTCTTCGATCTTCTGGGGAGGCCCTGCTCTCGATCCCACCAGCATCGCAGGTGTGGTTTGTGGGGACGAGAGAGAGGGCCTTTTCGGTGATGGCCCCTCGACTCTGGAACTCATTCCCTAAAGACATCAGACAGGCTCCAACCTTGGCAGTCTTCAGGAGGAACTTGAAGACGTGGCTGTTCCAGT